GGGGGCGGGTACAGCTGGCTCTGCCTCTAGATAGGCAGAGCCAGCTGTCACTCACGCAGCTGGGCGGATCCAGACATAATTGTCGGGATCCGTTTCAGCTGCGGCGTCTCAGTATACCGCAAGCTGAGCTTTGGGTAACGGGAGGACGCTAGTGTCCTCCCGTTACCCTACGGAGAACTATGGGGAAAAGCCCTAACCCCATAATTCTCCTTTTAAATTTGTGATAGTCTCACAAAAAAGAATTGACCTATAGCGAATGCCTTGGTGTCAGGTGATTTTTTTTTAATTAATTTTTTTTTTTCTTTTCTGCAATTGTTTGAATATTTTGGTATCTTGAACAGGTACAGGCAGTTCTTAAACGTAAAGAAGAGGAAGATCGGCAAATGAAAGAACTAGTGCAGAGTCTACAAGATGCCTTAGAGAAAGAGAGAGCAAAAGTGAACAGTCTTGCTGAACAGGTAAGGGACACACTGACAGTCATAATCCATAATCCAACATCCTGTCCCATACAGTGACTGTCACCGGACCACCAAAATATTTATGCTACCCTTTTCTGGGACCCTCGGACATAGTGTTGAACTAATTTGTTGGTTGATAAGTGTGCTAGAAATGTGCACCTTGCTATAAAAAGCTAGTTATTGATCGCTGGGACACACTGGAGGTTTTCAGCTGCCTCTGTGCTTTGCTGGGCTTCTAGTGCGCAGCTGCACCTTTTAAGAGAAATTGGTTTCCACCAGACATGCCTTCATTTAGACTGTTTATTGCTGTGTATGTCCCAGGTTGGTAGTTTTGTTACACTAGGAACCACATTGTACACAGGCAATATATACATACATTTGCTGCATTAACACCTCTGCTTTTAATACATATTGTTTATGGAGTGCTGGCTATTTATGCTTTATATAATCAAGGCTGGGAAATGTAATGTATAAAACATGAAAATACTGATGAGGTTTATATGCTGAACATTAGATAAAGTCACTTTTAGTGGGCCCTTAAAAACATCAACATTGCAAAATAATTTCAATAGCTACTATGACAGTGTGGAGGTGGATATGATTTCTGGAGCACGGTTTATAAACAATGCTGCAGAAAAAGCACCTGGGTGGCTGGTGGAGCTGTGAATGGCTGTGATCTAAGCGGTCATTTGACCGCTATGTTGGACTGGATAGATTGTGTCTTTTTCCAACCTTATCTACTATGAAATGTAAATATTGGTCCGGGTTGTAGTGACTGTTTCATAATTTTTTGAGGCAAACAATGAGATCATTTGGGTCTCTACTTTCTAAAAAGAGGTCATTTCATCAAGTGAAAAAGATTTTTATTCAATATTTTTGGTCTTGCATCTGTTCAGAAAGGTAAAAATTGTGCTTTTCTCTTTCGTCTGTACATTCTGAGAATGAAATGCTTGATATTTCTGTAACTGTTTTTGTTTTTCCAGAGGATTCTGTGTCTAATGGTGAAGTATGATAACACATAGCAGCCAGTCAGAATTTACTTTGCTCAAGTCTGTGTAGTCCAAGATGGAATCTTGTTGATTTTTATGGGGTCTGCATGTTGCTCCATCCATGCACTGTTAATACATACTATAAGTCCATTATAATATTAATGAGGGCTTTTCTTTCCCAATCCCCTTTGTAATCAATATAGGGACATCTGCATTTTTCTTTTATATATAACAAAATAATGTTATACTAATTCGCACATCATCTCTTCTTGTTGTTCTGCACCATTGTAAAACATTTGAATTATTTTATCCATATCTTGCAATCTATCAGCATTGGATAGTTGTTATAATGTATGAAATTTAAGATAAATCTCTACCTTGATAAACATGTAACAGTATAAAACCTAATTGCTTAGGTTTATTCATTCTTTTGATATGGGTGATAGACAACTTCCATCTGATAGTTATCTGTTTACAAGCTTCCAAATGTAGAAGTAAAAAAAAATGATCTGGCATATTTCCCTTGCGTGGACTGGCATGTCTCGCCAATGAGTCCAAAAATACAAGTTGTCAGGTTAAAAACATTTTGGCAAAGAATGAGTGAGAAATGAATCCAATTTCCTCTTAATGGAAGGAGGTTCAGTTTGAGCATTTCCAAGCTTAACCCCAAATATACTTTAGTATTCTGATGATAACCTTCTATGTTCAAATGCTGTACATCCCTATTAAAGCCATGGTACTCAGGAATAGGAAATCGCTCTGTATACTAGTGCATGGTGTGGCATAAGCAGATAAGTCATTTCAGTAAAATTCCATCCTAAATTGGGACAATGCTGTTGCTTTTAGGATACAATATTTTCAATTGAAATGTGTTGGTATGTTATTTTTTGCAGGTTGCTAGCACCAAGGCGGAAGCTGCACATAACAGGAGGCATTACAGAGCTGCAGCACTTGAGCTTAGCGAGGTCAAGAAGGAGCTTCAAGCAAAGGAACAGATAATCCAGGCACTTCAGGCTGAAGCTGAAAAATTACAGTAAGTGATTTTAAAAAAACTATCGCTTATCATTTTAAGGGCATATGTAGTACAAATCTCCTTTCTCTTTCATTCATGGAGGGACACAGCTTGATGATTAACCTAGGGTAATCCTGCCCACCTACATGAGAACTGGATACTAGGCACATAGGTAACCCTCCTACTTGAATTTGAAGATTTTATATTATCAACAAGTACTTGTAACTTCAGGCCAGATATTGAAAATCCTGCAAGTCACTTCAGTTACCCAACAAGTGCAGGTTTTTCCAGTTAATTAAGCATACTGGTATTCTCTCTTTGACAGTCCTGAAGTTGGAAGTGACTACCAGCCAAGGTATAGCCAACAGTCAGAATGCACTGATATTACAAGGTGGATTCAAATTAATTTGTAGGATTACTGCACTCTGCTATTCACACCATTTTATTAAGTAGCCTTTGTGAATCCAATGTCTAATTTCACCTTGGTAAACCAGATGCCTTAATTTGACTTACTGTGATGTATCTTCACTGTAAAAATATCATATTAACAGAATTCCTGGACACTACATTACATACAGACATTAAATATTTCCATAAAATGTCTATAAAGATTTAAATGTGTGGTGGGCTCGGTGTAGTTGGGTGACAACTTTGTCATGATTTTACCCTGTAGGATTAAGGATGAGAAACACTCTGAAGAACTGTCCCAGTTTCAGCAGGAACTTGCTGAAGCCCATTCACAACTGGTGCTCTTGCAGAAGGATCTGGACGATCAACTCAGCAAAAAGCCTGAACTCAATCAAGAGGTAACACAGAACTTCTAAAATGTCTGCATGTTTCTAACTCAAAGGCATTATTAATGCTGGAAGAATTATCAGTCATTTTACTATATTTGTAAGTGTAACATTGATCCACCTCACACCATGGCTGTTGTGTGGTGGTGTGCAGAAACATTGAAGCTCAGCAAGCATGGCGTGAACAAATCCCCAAACTATAATGGTTTTAGGTAAAAAAAAATTTGGTGTTTGTTTTTTTCAGTTTTTAACCCCCTCCGGGCCGGCCGTAGTAAAAAAATGGCCGGCCCGGAGCTCTCTAGATCTGAGCGGGCGTCTTTAGACGTCCGCTCAGACACGCCCCCTGCGGGCGGGAAATGACCGCAATTTAAAAACAGGCAGCGGTGCCTGTTAACATACAAGCGATCCGCCGGGCTGTAGAGCTGGCGGATCGCTTGTATTTTGCAACGATCGGTGCGGGCCCCCCCCTCCGCTGCCCCCCCCGCCATTGTCCCGCCGATCCCGGGCCCCC